TCGTGGTTTTTAGTTTGTGCCGCCTTGTATTTATAAGAAGAAAAAAAGCCCAAGAAGAAAAAAAAAGATTAGCAAAAAAATAACAAACACAAAAAACGTGGAGACCGGCGTCTTACATTTTGTTGGTCAAGAGTCGGCTCTTCCTATGGTGGCATGGCAATTTCATATGGGGCGGCATTCAAAAATGTTGATACGGTTGCATGGGCTCCATGGCCGGCATCGATGCATCTGATGATGTGTTGGCGGCAATGATGATGAAGATGATGATGGCGGTGGCCACAGATAACAATAATAACAATAACAACGCCGGACAAGTCATTAATGCCATCAGAATTAAAGCAAATTATCTCATCTCCGTTCTTTTTTTTCTTCTTGATTTTGGTTTCTTTCCGGAGTTTTTTTTTTCGAATTATTTTTATTTACTTAGGAGTTTATTTGTCGTTGTTGTTATTCTCTTGGGCAAACAGGTTATAAAGGAATTTTTGCAAGCAACTTCCTAAATGTTGTTCCTAATTTGTTGTTGTTTCTAATTCCTCAGGGAACTATATTTTTCTACAGAAAAAATCCAAAAGTCTCAGACGAAAGAGTTTTTTTCCTTTAGAAAAGAATTTTTACCGTACCGAAGGGCTTCGTTCTATTGATAAGAAAAATGTCACATTTTCACATGACTGTATTTTTTCATTGGTACTCATTTGAAAGGTACTTGAAAGTTTTCAAAAAAAAAAATAATAATAAAAATAATAATAATAATAACAAGTAAGCAAAGGCTATAGTCGTGCGGGTCCGACCATGTGATACCCTACAACACTACAATATGTTAGAAGCCCCCTTATGTCCAAATCCATTTTGGAAGATTTCGCTTTTGAAATTATGTGACGGAGCACTGCCCAGATATTACCCTTTGCATTTTGACCAGGGACATTTGTCTAATATTTACGCACTCCGTCGTATTTTGCGATCATCTCCAAAAGCAAGAGGCCCCTCTGTATCTCCAAATTTAGACTCTTCTATACGATCTTCTTGTCTACGATATTTTGCTATATTCGTCAACGAAATCAGCAAAAAAAGGCAGAAGTTCGCATTTTGTGTATTTCGGCTATCGCCTGTAAGTAATGTTGGTATTTTTCAGACAAAAGTAGTGGTTCATTCTATCCGCTGTCCTAAACTCTAACTGCATGCGAGATTTCGTGTCCTTTGGTTTCTATTTATGACCTTTATAACGGCTGCAAAATCAGGAAAATTTTTAGTTGTTGGTCCATTTCAAAACCCAAATATATTGCGGACATCTTTAAAACTTATAGGCCTATCCCTTCTGAGCCTTACCCTTGTGAACATTTTCGTGAGGATCGGATAATAATTGCAATCTGTATATAACAGCCCCAAGCGGTGTTGTAATGTGAAAAAATATTACAAAATATACACTTCAATATTTTAAGTCAAATTGAAAATATCGCATGCGATAAATAATATGAAAAAATAAAAAATGTCACAAAATACTAAAAAATCTATATTAAGATCATTTTTGACTTGTTTTTATGCGATTTTTTTAGATTTTATACCTTTATGTCAAGAGGGCATTCTGAATTGACAAAATTTGTCAAAATCGGTCCAGCCATTCTTGAGATATAAGCATTCCATCTAACATTCCTTTTCTTTGTATATACACATTGTATATATTTCACTATATATATCCGATATATGTACTATCGGCATCAACGTAACGGTCAGAATTGACCTGTTCGTCTATTTTTGATTTCGCCGGGACTAAAAATATTCGCGGTATAATGGAAATTTGACTCTTATTTAACACAAATGTTATAGTCTTTTTCACCCACTAAATACTACCCGATGACCATCAAAATCAGAAGGCTACTGCCCAGCCCGAAGCTTTAGCCCCATGATAATTTCCGTGTCGATTGGTCCATAATTGCGATCTGTAGAGCAACTGCAAAATCACGATTTTTTTCAGTTTTTGGTCCATTTCGACCCCTAAATATTGTGCGATCATCTCCAAAAGAAATAGGGTTCTATTCCGACCTTATCCCCACCCACATTCTAAATTTCGTGAAGATCGGGCCATAATTGCGACCTGTAGAGTGATTACAAATTAACATGGACAGACGGACAGACGGACGGACGGACATACATAGCTAGATCGACTCAGCTCGGCGAGATAGGAAGATCCATATATACTTTCCTATGTGGGAAATCGATATTTCGAGGTGTTACATAATTTTTGGCCCAATCAAACTTATAATACCCCCAACACAAAGTGTTGTAGGGTATAAAGAAATTCCTAAAACCGTTATATGGGGACTATACGAAGACTTGGATCTGTTTACAAAATTTTTGTCATATGCTCTAGTATCCATTTGCCATAGGCTGTAGTACCCATTACGAACTTCAAATGCAAAATTTTAAATAATTTCGGTGAATAATGTCGCTAAAATCATGTAAATACCGAATATCGGGAGGTACACTTATATGTGGGCTTTGCGAAGACGTGGGCCTGCATACAAAAATTTTTGTCATAGGCTGTATTGCCCATTACGAACTTCAAATACGACATTTGACATAATACCGGTAAATAATGTTGCAGAAATCATGAAAATACCGAATATTGGGAGGTACCATTATATGGGGGCTTTACGAAAACGTCTACTGGTCAGCTATGCATGTATGCAAAATTTTAGCCTTCTATCTTGATTTTTTCCGAAAGACGGACGGACAGATAGACAGACGGACATCTCCAGATCGTCTTAGAATTTTACGCTGATCCAGAATATATACACTTTGTAGGGTCTGTTATGAATATTTCAAGGAGTTACAAACGGAATAACAAAGTATACCCTCCATAGAATGGTGGAGGTTATAATAAAACCTCACAAAATACAGAGTTTTTTTTTTTAACTCATAGTCCCATCAGACTTTGAGTTTAGGTATAGACCGTTTTTCACAATGTCACTCTCACAAAAGCTGCGGCGGCGGTAACCTCAATCAAAGCCAGGATCTTCATAAAAATCCACTAATCCTTATGAAATGAAAAATTCTGTGGGTGACATGAGGTGCTTTAATGATTCAAATACTAAATTACAATCTACTCGTACTCATGTTTAAAAACGATAATATGGCGATTTGAATTCTGAAGTAATCGGGAATTCAATACATATAGCTGTTCAGGTGTAATTGGTGTTCGATTTTTACTACGACCGGGAATACAAGAGAGATGAGCTTTAGTTTCTTGGTAATTTGTAGATAATCGGGAACTATGGTGTAAGGATGTCAAGTTGTTGACGATTTTCGGGTAATTGGCTTGAATCAGGAACTAATAATTGGTCGCCGGACATTGACGAGTGGTAGATAATCAGTAAAGTAAAGAAGCGACTTGATCGAAATCCGCGTGGCAGTGGCCGAAAAATGGCTCGTGAGCTGAACATATCGCAATATTCCATTCGGCAAATATTGAAAAATGAGCTCGGGGTTAAGCCATTGAAATTCGAAAAAGTGCAAGAACTTACACCGCAACAGGAAGAATAGAAAATAGACTCAAAAGAGCCAAGGAGTTGCTTCGCTTGGCCGAAAGTGATGAACTGTCGAATTTGATTTTCTCCGATGAGGAAACATTCGTTGTTCAGCAGTTTGTAAACAAACAAAATGATCGTGTTTACTTGCCAAAGAGGTCAGCCGAAAATTTACACCTTCGGTTGGCCACCAGAACTCAAGCGCCGGCCTTGGTGAGGGTGTGGGCCGTCATAACAGCCGATGCTCTACACTCGTATAAATCGACCGTGGCTTCAGAATAAATGCCAATGGCGAAAATATTCTGCAGGGTATATTAAAGCCTTGGGCATGCAAACATTTTAGCCGCAGACGCGGTACCCAAGAATGGTTACAAAATGAGGTTCCTTGCTTCATTTGCAGCGCACAATAGCCACCAAAATCTCCGGATACCAATCCGTTGGACTATTGTGTCTGGAGTATTTTGGAAAGCAAGGTTGGCACTAAAAAATACCAAAGTGTCGATCACCTCAAACAAGCGCTTCGCCAGGAATGGGTCAAAATACTGCCGTTAGAAGGCCATAATTCGTGCCAAAGGTGATCAATTCGAACAAATGTAAACTTATTCTAAAATTGGATGATATTTCCGAATTTTTTTGCTTTCATTCAATAAAATTAATTTTTTTTTAAATTATGACCTTTGACTTTGTTGCAGTTTTTTGTATCTCATCCTGTATACTATACTATAATTTATGGTAGGATGAGAAATGAGTGATATATTCGCACTCCTATTTAATAGGCATGTCGATCTATAGGCTCTATGTACCTCTCTCTCTCTAAATCATGAAGGTAGTATTTAATTTCTGTTGGTAGGAAATTCGGATTTGCAATGGAATGTAACGTATTTCTAATTTAACTCTCGAAGTACAATGAAATTTTTCGAATTACCAATAAAGTTACTCAAATTACATCTGAAGATTATGTCTATGTTCTCCATTTTCCCGTTGGGGAATTGTTTATTTCGGGCCATCAATAAATGTAGAGGCTCTATATATCTGTTCCACGCTATTTTGTTTTTCAGGACGTATTATATCGTTAATTACTCGAATTGACAAATTGAGGCCCTTTCATTAGGAATCATGTCAAAATCATGTGTTTCCAATTGGAACAGCTGATTTCCGATGAGAATACATTTACATTACTGTTTACATAGCCTGTAATGTGGCAACTCTTTAATGTTATAATGTTGACGGTACATGTATGAGTGCGTTAAATATTTTCTTATGCTCTCTTTCTCATAGATACATTTTGTTCTTGTTTTCCTAACATTTCCATGTGTCACACACACAGATACTTTGGTGTCAAAGTGTGGGTGCCTGAGAGCAGCAAAATGATTGAGCGAGAGAGAGAGAGAGAGAGCAAGAGCGTAGAAAATTTACGACAACATTGCGCTGTCGGCAAATGAAAAATTTCTTTACTTGACCCGTTCAAGTTTAGTTGCTGTTTGAAACTAGTCCGCACAACGTGTTCGGCGCGAATAATGACTAAAAAAGAAACAAAAATAGATATAAAAAATCATTTTGTTTTTTTTGTTAATTTAGAATTTATGTAAAAAAGTAGTTGTTTTTTCGTCTTCGCTAGAAAAAGAATACAAGAAACAAAACAACTAATAACAAGAATAATTTGCTGCCATATAACAAACAACAAGAAGCAAGAAATTGAAAAAAAAAGAAATAAAACGAACGGTAATAGTGTGTGTGAATATACAACTATTGCTGGTTATTAAAAGCAAATAATAAAAAAAAAAACAAATAAAATAATGAAAAATTTAAATGATTTTTGTGTAACATGATAATGTGTAAAATTTTATAATAAATCGAAAAAAGAGAAAGAAGGAAATTAAAAAAAAACACAAATACATATTGCCTTCGAGATTAGTGCAAAGTGAAAAACCAAATAGAATTCCTTATTCTCCTCCACACCAATGGAATTATAACAGAGGAATAAATTGTAAAACATACAAATTTCTGTGAAACTATTTTTACTGCCGGATTTAACTCGACACTTTGGTTTTTTAAAACAAGAAGAACAAGAAGAGGTCTCAGCTCCCCATTAATAGAAACAAAAACAGACAAACAAGACAATATTTTTTGCGAGCTCTCTGAATGAGCAAAAAAAGAAACGACAAGAGAGAGTTCAAACCAAGAGATATTGTATCTCATCCTACTACCTTTTGTGAATATTTTCGGTTTTCCCCCCACCGCTTGTGAGCAACACCCATCAGTGAGAGTGTGGTGTTTTTTTTTGCTATTGTATTTTATACTCAGTGTGGTCTTTGGGCATCTCTGGCAATCTGTTTTGTTGGCTTTTTATTTGTTTCTTATCGCCATTTAAGCTACGTGCCGTACCGTAACGTATTGGACGCCACCACCGCCACCATCTGTCTCCGTGCCCGGCTCCCTGACTCGTTACTAACGTCAGCAGGCCATTGTCGTCTCCATCATTGGCGGCGTATGTTGGTCGGCTCCTTCGTTGTGTCATATGAAACGTTCAATTATCATAGAATTGAAAACAATAACAACAAGAAGAAGAAGAAGAAGCAGGAAGACGGGGAACTGAAAACAACTTGCCAATATTCTTTTCTTTTCTTCATTTATTTAAATTTTGTTGATTTTTCGGTTTTTGCTGCTGCTACCAGAGCACAAATTGCAAATAAAACCAATAAAGAAGAAGAATAACAGCAAAGAACAGTGGCCACACAAATAGCCAAAAAAGAAGAACTGAAAAAACTACAAAAAAATTCAAGAAATCACAGTGAGCAACAAAAAACATATCGTAAACAAAACCAATCAAACAAACATTAGCAATTCCTGGCACATATCACATTAACAACAACAGCAACAACAATAATAACAGTTTTTGTTTGCATTCTAGACCTGTAAGAGAACAGACAAACGGCCTTATAAAAAAAAACATCATAACAAACCATAATCAACAGCAAAAAAGGAAAGGAAACCGGTGAAAATCACAAAGTACTGACACCCCTTTTGAATACCTACAAAAGAAAAACAACACACACACACAGGCAAACAAGCAAGTGCTAACATATGGGCTCTCCCCCCAATTGGATTCTTATTTGCTCACATATCAACTCTCCATAAGCCAGCACGAGGAGAGCAATTTGGCTTGCCCACATAAATGCTGCCAATCATTCAAACCACATTAACAGAGAGACTAGTGGCCCCATATTTCTGAGAGCACAACACACGGAGATAAGGAGAGCACCACAAATTACTGTGAGAGCAAGAGCTCTAATACATTTGTGGGAGATTAATACGCTAATTGTGTGAGTGAGTGGGGATTGCTGGCAGTGTGTTTTAATTCATTTTATTTAATTCGAGTAGAACCATAGAACACACGTTTTTCTTTGGTTTCTAAAAAAAAAAAAACAAAATCAACACAAATTCAAAACACGTAATATTTCAACGTAAATACATATCTACATACATGGTGTTGATATTTGCTGTGTATCAATATTCTAAATAAGAAAAAAAAACCACACACACAAAATAAATATCATTTAAAATACCCCAAGAAAACCTAAAGAGTTTGTTCGCGAAAAAAAAGAAAATTTAAACGAAACAACTTATTTATTAAGAAAATAAAAACAAAATATAATGTAAATTTTAAATAATTATTAAACATAACAACAACATATACATATCCCCCCAAACATATCAATCAATTAAAACGAAGAAAAAAAAACAAAGAACAACATAATCACATTACACGTTCTTAGAACAGAAAAAAAAATACATATTTAAGAATATTAAATAATTGAAAAAAATATATATATTAAATAAGTGAGTGAAAATTAAAAGAAATATACACATAACGGAAAAATAACATTTGGAAAAAGAGAGAAAAAAAAAAAAACAAAATCCAGTAAGTTGAATTCAATATCGTATTTAGTGTTTTTATTTTAAACTAAAAAGTATCCAACTTTTTTTTCAAATGATCTTATTGAAAAATATAACTTTAAATGCTTTTAGGGGTTTTTCAGATAATCATTATCCAATAAATTAACTCTATATAACGGGTGTTTATGCGTTTTTTTTTAATAGGAATTATTCTGTTGTCTGACAGCTGTTTTGACAGTTTAAAGTGACGTCTCTACTCAGTATTGTATGGCAAATCAAATGTTCTTGACCATTCCATAATTTGGCATGTGTTTTATTTAAATTTCAAATTAGCAAGCACTTAGAAAAACACCCTTAAAACTTTTTTTGGTTAGTATAAGTATAGGGAATTGCATAGTGAAAATATTGACACCAATAGTGATATTTTCTATCTAGTTAACGATGTTATAGCTAACAGCAATTTTTCAAATAATTATAGTCGCGGTAATTAACGAAATTTATTAGTACGATAGGTATGAAGATAAAATAGCTACTAAGTAGTGAAATAACTGACTGGCTCAGAATCAACGGAAATTCGTACTAAAATGTCCTTAAAATTGAATAAATTAAATTTGTACAAATGTGGAATGATCTAAAATTCTGAAATTGTGAATGGGAATCATTGATGGAGTACAGGATAGACGTGCCAAAGGGTTTTTGGACATCCAAACTTTAAGGTTACAAAAAGTTCTAAAATGTTACTAAACTTCTAAAATGGTCAGAAAGTGGTTTTGGAAATGTGTACTAAGTGTAGGAACTAAAATTGGAACAGTGTGGTTTAGGGTGAACGGATGAAGTTGGAATATAGTATTGGTGTCCCCGATGGTTTGTGATACAAGGGTGGTTTTGGAAACGTGTACTACAAGCGCATGAAAAGTACTAAATAGTACTATTTTCGGTACAATTTGGTATTAGGTGAACAGATATTGCTTAAAATCTGAAACTTAGTATTCGGATCCCTGTTTATGTAAAGCCTGGACATGTGGTTTCAGAAATGAGAACTATATTTATACGAAAAGTACTAAATGGTACTAAATTTGGTATTGGGTGAAGGGATAGAGCTGGAATCCCGAATTTGATATTGAAATGACTGTTGGTAATTGGCAGTGATTTTGTAAAAGAGTACAGGGTGAGATAAAAAAAACTGCAACAAAGTCAAACGCCATAATTTTTACATTTTTTTTTTATTTTATTGAACATTTTGGAATTTCAATGCTCATTTTTCAATGTTTGCGAATAGAATATTGCGATAATTTGAGCTCACGAGCCATTTTTTGGCAACTGTGACGCGGTCGCTTCTTCATATTCAGTACATATATACCTTATCAGCATAAAATTTCGATTTAACGATGTCCGTCTGTCTGTTGAAATCACGATACAGCCCAAAATTTAGCAGAGCAATTTGTATGTGTCTAGGATGGTTGGTATTGAAAATGAGATATATCGGTCCACGTTTTAGTATAGTCCACATATAACGGTACCTCCCGATATTCGGTATTTTGATGATTTATGCCACATTTTTTCACGGATTTGTCTAAAAATTGGTATTTGTAGGTCATAACGGGTCCCAGTTCGTGTGGCAAAACATTGCATGTATAGGTCCCCTCTTTGATATAGCCCCCATATAAAGGTAACTCCCGATATTCGGTATTTTGATTATTTTTGCCAAATTTTTTCACAGATTTGTCTATAAATTGGTATTTGTTGGTTATAATGGGTTCCAGCTCCGGTGGCGAAACATTGCATGTAAGGGCCCACGTTTTGGTATAGCCCCTATATAACGGTACCTCCCGATAATCGGTATTTTGATGGTTTTTGCACATTTTTTCACTGATTTGTCTAAATATTGGTATTTGTAGGTCATAATGGGTCCCAGTTCGTGTGGCAAATCATTGTAATTATAAGTCCACGTTTAGGTATAGTCCCCATATAACAGTAACTCCCGATATTCGGTAATTTGATAATTGTTGCCACATTTTTTCACGGATTTGTCTGAAAATTGGTATTTTTAAGTCATAATGGGTTCTAGCTCCTTTGGCGAAACATTGCATGTATAGGTCTACGATTTGGTATAGCCCTCATATAACGGTACCTCCCGATATTCGGCATTTTTATGGTTTTTGCCACATTTCTTCGCGGATTTGTCTAGAAATTGGTATTTGTTGGTCTTTTGGCGAAACACTGTATGTATAGGCCCACGTTTTTGTATAACCCCATATAGCCGTATTTCCCGATATTCTTTATTTTGATGATTTTTGGTACATTTTCCCATGAATATGTCGAAAAATTGGTATAGGTAGGTCATAATGGGCTCTAATGTTTCCTTTACACTAAGGTGGAGGGTATATAAAGTTTGGCCCGGCCGAACTTAATGTTTTTTTCTTGTTTTTTTTAGACACAAGTGTTTTGGGAGGCGATTTTCCAACATGGAGTAAACATTCTTAAAAATAATTATAATTCACTATACATGAAGGTTGATAACTGGGCTGGAATAATTTGAAAAGTTTCTCAGGTATTATTCCTATTTTTTGCTGAAGAAATCAAAATCTAAACGACAAACTCTTACTTTTTTGGGATGTATTAAGTTTACAAGAAACCTCAACAATAACAATAAATCTCAATTATTGTTTAAACATTCCATTATTTGTTTAATTTTTATTACAATTTAAATCAAAAATTCTGTTTATTATTATGCATCCAATAATCAAATGATGTGTTTATTTCGAAAGAAAAGTCCTATATTTAGGTATGTATATTTCGTACGGCCAATATACATACAAACGTCGTATATACCATGTATGTGGATGTATACTATTTCCCAATGAATAAACGTGTTCTATATCATTTCTAATTTATATTTTGTTTTCAAATATTTTTTTGCATTATAACAAAAATATTTTGGTCTAATAAAATATATTTTCTTATAACATTGTATACAAAATGGCATACACACAGCTATACAAACGTACCTACATACATATGTAGGTACATCGTAAGAGCTAACATATGACAAGATGTGATGAAAACAAAAATGAAAAAAAAAAAAAAAAAAAACAATATTTATAGAAGCCATAAATCCCATCCAAATATATTTTATGAAAGCCACAAATTGTTTAGCTAGGAAAGAAAAAAAGATGAATGAACTGCCGCTATAAACTGAGAGGAAGACAAAAAAAAAAAAAAAAAATACAACGAACAAAAACAATTTAACAATGATTAACAAAAATACAAAATATTTTGGTTATAAAACAATTTTCTGTTTCTAATTAAACATTTTGTAAAACACACAGCGTCAATATAAAATGGGTTATAAAATTAAGTAGGGGGTAATAAAATTAATGTAGCCGAATGCCACAAATGATCATAACTCAAATACAGATATAAATCTCAATGGATTTGAAGAATTGTGGACACAATAAACGTCAGTTCATTCATTTTTGAGGGACACGGAGCACCTAAGACAAAATTTAGTTTTTTAATTACAAAATTAAAAAAAAAAAAATACATTTTGTGGTGCCAAAAAACACAATATTTTTACTATAATATTTAGACATAACTTGTTTTTGTTTTTTGTTTTTGCATGTATGTATCCAAATTTTCTGTTCAAAACTATTTCTCTCGTCTCCATATGTAAACCCTAAAAATCAACAGTGACCTCAATATCAAATTTTGGGACTTCAGCTCTATACCTTCACCCATTAAAAAATTTAGTACAATTTAGTACGCATATTCAAAACATAAACACCTCTCCATCCTAGACACCAACAGTGACCAATTTAATACTTTTCGAACAATTATAAGACGCATTTTCAAAACCAATTCTATGTCTCAATCCCAGTTACCAACAGAGGTCTCAATATCAAATTTCGGGATTCCAGCTCTATACATTCACTCAATACCAAATTTAATAACATTCAATACTTTTCTTATCTCAATATCGTTTCCTATTTCAAATTTCAATTTATTTCCATTTAGTACTTTTCGTTCAATTATAGCGCAAATTTCCAAAACCACCTCCATATCTCCTTCCCAGATACGAACAGAGACCTCAACATCAAATTTTAGGATTCCAACCCTATTCCTTCACCCAATACCAAATATTGTAACATTAAGTACAAATATAGTAAAGGGTTGCCCATATTCGACGGACCTTTGGGCTCATTCCAATCGACGAGACTTGTCCGCAGGCAACATTCTTTGCGTCAATTGAATTTTGTACGGGAACAATAGCAAATCAATGCGAATAATCCGTTGTAAAGTGGACCGAGCCATGCCCAACTGCTGAGAACGGCGTTTTTGGGATGTTCTTGGGGACCTCTCAACACTGGCTCGTACGGCAGCGATATTCTCGGTCGATCGCCTTGGTCGACTTTTATATGGCCTCTTCGGATTAGAAAAAGCCTTACCAGTCTAAAATTTTTCGTATAAACTCTTAATGGTGCTCTTAGAAGGCGGACTTCTCACATTTTTTAAGGTTTTAAAAGCACGTTGAGTTTTCACAATTGACTTCTTGTAAATTTCAACTATTTCAGAGCGCTCGCGTGGCGTGTATTGGTTCATGGTAAAAATCTGCTTGGATTGACGCTTCAAACGCGGTATGTCATTAAGCGATGTGACATCTCTGTCAAAATTTATGGCGTTGCCAGATGGGTCCGTCGAATATGGGCAACTCTGTACACAACTCAAAAACCTCCACCATATCTTAACCACAGATACCAACGCTGACATATATATCAAATTTCAGGATTTCAGCTTTATTAATTAACCCAATACCAAGTTTTATACTTTTTAGTAATTTTCGTACAGGCTTTTCCAGGTTCTTTGGCTAATTTAAATCCATTACTAGGTAATGGCTTTTCTTGGCTAATTCAAATGCATTACTAGATAGTGGTAATTACCAAATAATGGCAATAAGTTTAGATTTCGTCGAATTGGTCACCTTTGGCACGAATTATGGCCTTCAAACGCCAAATGAAACCGTCACAC